ATTCAAACCAAAAGGCGACTAGTCACGCAGCGAGTACTGAGGAAGACTGCTTCTCACCACTCTTATCGCCTCTATTTGCATAGGCAGCCTTGATATGGGGGGTAGGTTTGCCAATGTTGCCCGTGGCGGTGTTTGGTTGTGATGTAGTCCTTGGGCAATGCACCAAAGCAGGTCTCCCGACCCTTTTCCAAAAGAGCCTCTACTCGCCATGAACCAGGACCACCCAAGCGTGCTCCGCCCTTCTCCCCTACTTTCCCTTTTTCTTTTCCATGTGGATGCATGGTGGATTTGCCAGGCACAAACCGGCCGCATCTCCCCCAGCCACTAGGTTTTCTGTATTGAAAGGACAGATGACAACTTGGATGCAAACACGTAGGCCCTTCTTCTTCTCGACAAACTGCTAGGTAGCTGCGTCAAGCGCGGAAACGATATGGGATGTGTGCCTGAAGTGGCTGCAACCTAAGACTGAGAGGATTTCAGGTGCCCTTTGCTGGGTAAAGGCAGGTACACAAACCGAATTTGATATAATCCGCCTCAACAATGGTGGACATGACGTAAAGCCCCCATGTTTTGATGTCCACAAAAGGGTCCAACAGTTGAAACTCAGACGCAGCCGGGCCACAAGCAAACGAGAAGGTTAGAGGGTGGGCAGTCCCAAGAAAACACTGGTTGGATATATCTGGCCTTTGAGTTCCTTGCATGGCTTTTCGTAGTCCCCCTCTACCACCAGGTTTCGAAATTCTCTCTTCGGTTCCCGATTTCCGGGTTGGCGTGTCTTAAGATCATGGGCCCTCATTGATTTGTTTGTTTCCTTCTGCACCACAACCAGAACGGTTCTCCCCCTGAAACAAGGGTACCACACCATAGCTGCCGATCTGCGGCCTCTGAGTCACCGGTCCCTCGAGGTGGGGGTTCCCAAGATCCTTTACATGGGTGTCCATGAAGGAAAACAGCAAAAAGGATGATATGGGTGCGGCTCAAAAGTAAAGAACCAGGGCTACGCAGGTTTAGTCTTTGGTTCCATTTACCAAGGTGCCATTTTGGTACATTGATTTGAGCCACAGCCATATTTCCCACCAAGTGGGAAAGCTTACCCATGGTCATTTGAGGGCCGAGGGGGAGATTGATCAACCCTCAGGTACAACAAGCGCCGGAAGAAGAACGTGCTCACGGAGAGCACGGTGCTGGCGGCTCCTGTGCACGTGATGCAGGGCAAGGAGAAACACACTGCGAAAGCGGCACTCGGCACCGCGAAAGGCCCCCCTTTGGTCGATTCTGGATGTACCGGGGGATTTTCCGCTTTCTTTGTTTTTTTGCACCCCCTTTGTGTTTTGAAGGGAAAGCAAAAAGAGGATGTTGGCTGAGGTAATCGGGTTACATATCCTTGGTGGCGGTGTCCTTGTCAGGTGGTTGGTTTACTCTAAGATGGTGTCCACCCGCAAACCACTACCCCCATTGGGTTTGTGGGATATACAAAGTGTAGTGGAAACTATCTTAGATGATTGAAAGGAAAGCATCAAGAGGTTGTTGATGGAGCTGGTTGGTGCTGAAAGGGAAAAGTGAAACCCGAGAGGATGGTCGGTTGAGGGTGTTGGTTTTGAAGGGAACACCCAAGGGGCAATTTTTTAGCCACGATCCACACCTGGATCAAGCGTGACAACAGTACCCCTTTGGGTTGGTGTATGCACCACCTTCTGGAAATACCTCAAGTTCTACTTGGTGGGGTAATGCTTGAAAGAGACGTGCAAGGAGCCTCTTTTTTTTGGCAGGCTGTTCCAAGCGAAGATTAAGCACCAAAGTTGCAAGTCCTCGTTTCCTCGTACAGAAGTTCTCCTTATGTTCGGGAACCCAGGTGGTTCGTTTCCCCTGGCTGCCTCACATGCACAAACAGGTGCCATGCTCATTTGGGAGGGTTTCGCCTTGAATGTTTGGGTGTGATATGTGACTCCTCCACAAAATAAAACAGCCACCCCCTAAAAAGAAGACCCCCCCCAAAAAAAAGAAGCAGAGCAAAACACCAAAAAGGTACTCAGCAATTCTCCAAACCAACAGATCCACCCCCAAAATCACCAAACCAAGTTCCCTGCAGCACGGGATTTCCCCGCTTGCCGAGCCGATTGTCACGAGGAGACCTCTCAGTCCACTGGCATCACCGTGGAGCGCCTGGAGGCCGATTCTACGAGGTTTGAGCGGAACGAATCGGTGGCAAACGGACCACCATGTGGGCAGCTCACTCTTTTTTTTTCAAGAGAGAGACCCCCAAACTGGGATCGTTGTTGTTTTTGGGTTTCCCTTCGAAACCGCCCAAGCTTAGGGGGCGTGTCAAAAAAATATTTTTGGGGTGACGCTTCTTGGGGTGTCAAAGGGAAACCACAGGAGCCCACCGCTACCATTTGGAGGCAAACGATCTAGGACAAGATGGTACCCTTTTTTGATGTAGAAAAACTATGAGATCTCAACATGGTACGATTTTGAGAGTTCGTTTTGAGGCTACACTCTTCTTTGGCGATGAACTTCAAGAGTCGGAACTGCCTCAGTGGCGGACATGTTCATCCACACCGACATGATGTAAAGGCACTAAGGGGCCCCCCCTGTTAAAAAAGGCACACCCATGTTGGGCATCTTTTGAATTGGAGGCTGGCAGCAAGGACGGCTCAGCAAAGGGTGTGTGTTTTTGGAGATGGTTTTGGGTTGGTTCTGTAGGGAAGCAGAGACAAGAAAACCATTTTTGGCTTGGTTCAAACGGGTTGCTTAAAGGATGCATTGCAGCGCCGTGTTGCACATCGTGCTTAAGAGGATCCTCGTGTGAAACATGGTATCCTTGTGGGGCAACTCATGTACAATGAGGCGCATCTTCATGACATGCTGGGGGCTTCGAACCAACGGTCAATGGAGTTTTGGCACCGCTCTTGTGAGCGTGCCTACCTGTTTGGAGGTCTCAAACAGGGACCGAGCAAGGTGACCAAGCATGTTCTATCGGAGTTCCCTATTTGGGGCACTCGCATATGTGGGGAAGTGGATTCTGTTGATTCTGTGGTTGGTTTACTCTGCTTTCCACCCAGTATTCTCTTAGATTAGCCTGCCTTCTTTTAAGCGGAATTGGGAACGGGGTTTTCAGAGCCTTCTGCCAGCCCCGAAACCCAGCTTCTGCCAACCCTGAAACCCAGTGGTCATGTTCGGCACGTCGAGTTGTCTTTGGGAAGCCTTTGTGTTGCATTTGAATGCTCCCAATCTACGGGAAACTGCCGCCTGCTGTAGATGGAGGATGTGGTAGATTTACAACACTTAGGAGATACTTTTTGTTCATGAGAGTCTGGAATTGGGAGGACTGGTGTTGACAATTGACCTGTGCTTGGAGGGGAGCAAATTGCATAGCTGTTTGTTTCTTTGTTTGTTGGTTTGTTTGCTTGCTTGCTTGTTTGCTTGTCGGTTTGCCTGTTTGCTTGTTTGTTTTTGGTTTTATTTGTTTGTTTGTTTGTCTGTCTGTCTGTCTGTCTGTCTGTCTGTCTGTCTGTCTGTCTGTCTGTCTGTCTGCTTTTCGAATTGATTCATATGCATGACCCGACTGAAGACCACACGCCATACAAGCATTCGAACAGTCGATGACATGCATTCTTTGGATTGCTTTGCCAATTTTTGACCTTTGCAACTGTAGCCACCTCACCGCTCCGGTTTGCGACCTCACCCATGAATCAGTCTCTTCTTCGGCAGCCGGTGATTCACTCATCTTTTTCTCAGACACAAGCAAGTGATACTGTGGATGGACGAAATTCTGCACCACCAATGAAACCCTGGAAGAATGATTCCCCGGCAAGTAAAACAAACAATGGCTTTTTGCATGCTTTCAAATCGGTGCGAAATGATTTTCGTTCATCCACAGCATCTTTATGCCTGTAGTCCATTGTCGGATTTTGCTTTGCCCAACGGCCTGCAACACTTACTCCCTACCTAAGCCGGGTCGATCAATCAGTTCAAGGGCAGCCGACAAAAAACGTGCCCCTCGAAGAAGCATGACACTTGCCCCAAAAAGGCATCCTCCAAATGAACATCAGAAACTGAGGCCCCAACTAGACACCGGAATAGTCTTTGTTGTCCCCCCCTCCGGTACTCATTTTTGAAGTTTAAGGAAACCGAAAGGACAAAACACCATTTGACATTTCCTCTTAAAAATACATTTGTATTGCTCTCCCAAGATCTGAGGGCAGTTTTAGAGTCAGCCGTCCAACCCAGCGAGGAGTTTTTGGATATCTCCACTGGAGCAGCCGTTGCAAGCAGACGGGAAAGCTTTCCCGCTCACCTTTCCATGAACTGAAGATGCTAGAAAAGGCCCATGGATCTCCCACGGTGCCGGTCTGTTTCTCACCTACTGTCGCTGGTTGCGACATCCAGAAATCCTCTTAGGCACAATCTAGGAAACCCTGGCTTCTGCTGATTCGCGTGTGAATACCAACAAACAACGGCTTCAACCATGGTTTCAAATGGTGCAGGAGTATGTCCAGCGACAGTATCACTTCATTCATGTCAGCGTTTCAAGATGTTTCCCAGCCAGTTTCAATGCATAAACATTTCCATGATCAATAGCATCACCGTTAGCATCGGCACAAGCATGGATGTCGGTATCAGCCGCAGAAGCCAACATGTGAGATGAATGAAGGACAATAAGACCAGCAAAAGCTCGGACAACGAACCCCCCTAATTGTGGGTGTCTTTTTTTCGAGGGTTCCCTCCTTGCGCTTGTTTTTGAAGGGAACCCCTGCATTTTAGGGGGTCCCCATTAGGAGACCAAAACTCTTGTCTCCCCATGAGACCAAAAATCCTTTGTTGGGTGTCCCCCTCCCCGATTTCTCGTGGGCTCGCGCGTCCGTTTGGTGCCGCGGACGTCGAGACGTCGAGACGTCGAGGCCGGGGGGGCGGTGGCATGGCTGCGCCACTTCAGCCGCACGGCACGGCAGATGGCGGAGGCTGAGAATGGTGTCAGCGCGCTTGTCATGGTGCAGGAGGAGGGTCGGGCTCGTGTTTGGGCGTTTGGGCAGGTCTTTTTTGGGGTTCGTTGTGGGACTCTTTGAAAGGTACAATCAGGGGGCACTTACATTCCCATAAAAAAATATGAGAGACACCCATTTGTTCGGGCTCACGTGCTTTGGCAGTCGGGAGGGTTGCAGCGTGGCTGGTGAGTAGAGCAAGGCATTTTGTTTTTCAGCAACTTCAGCAACAGGCGCTTGCAACACATGTGCGTAACATACTGAAAGAAAAACTGAAGAAACAGCTATGTTTTGCACTTAAGCATTGTGCTAGTTGGTTTTTGTACGAAGTTCCTGTGCAAGTAGACTCTGCACTGATATGTGTAATGTTGTGGCCAGACAAATAAGTTCTGAGCAGGTGGATTTGTGCAAGGTTTATCTCTATAAGTGCAAGGTGTTCTTTGCACATTTGTCAGTGTATGTGGGCTCTATGCAAGTAAGCTGTGTGCAAGATGTGCGATTCAAGCATACAGCATACTGAATGCACGTATACTGAATGCAAGTGATTGCAGCCTGCAAAGGTTGACCTTGGAAGTGGTTGTTTCCCGCAAGTAATCAAATGAATGTCTTTCCACAAAGGTTCCCTATGTAAGTAAGCTTTCTGCAAGTTGACGTACATAGGTTTCTTCTCTGCGACTAAATCCTTTGCGAGATGCTTGGGGTATGTTTCTTTGATCAATGTGTTCTGCACAGGTTTTCTCATTGCATCACTTGCGATGCTTGACAAGAGAAGCACTTCACTCCCTTTAGACATTCTCACCAAGCAGAGTGCTGCCCACTCAGGGGTTCTTATTCTGGTGGGCTGAAGGGCCTGGTTTCGATCGGGGTTCGCTCTGAGAGGCTGGGTTTCAGAAGTGCGCTCTCGCTGTGGTGTCGTGCTATTTCGCAAGCAGTGAACCTTAAGCCTTATGCGGACTTTGGGCGCATCGAATTGCTCTCACTGCGGAGCGGTGCAAATGTTGCATTGCCGAAAAGAACCTTCTGCGGACTTCGGGTGGGTTGGATCGCTCTCGCTGTGGCGCAATGCATCGGACCCGGAAACCTGGCTGTGGCCCAGCACAAATAACATCTTCGCAGTTGCTGAGCTCCTCGTGAATGCTGGTCTTTGACCCGATGCCAGGGGACTTGGTTTTCGGCGTCGCGTCGCCCCAGCTGTCCAGTTCTTGGCTTGATGACCTCTGCCAGGCTTACTTTGGGCGTCGCTGTGCTCGCAGCAGCCACGTTTTATTGCGGGTGCCAGGTCGACAACTTAGACAGTCGCACATGGCAACCGTTTTTGTAGCCTTACAAGTTCAAGCCGTGATGACAATGTTTTGCGCCATTGCTCTTTTGTCTGCATCGGCACAGACCCGCCCTGAAATCAGTTTGTATGGGGATTCTTGGGGGGGCATTGTCGTTATAGGATTGGGCTTTTGTTGTTGATTCTTTGTTCACTTCGTCCCAAACAGGGTGCAATTGACCAACTTCACCAACAACTGTGCTTGGGCAGGAGAGTGGCGATTCCACGATTGGCCACGCAGAGATGGAGCATGGCAGTTGCATCGCGCGCAGCAGTGACACAATTGCTGCTTCATTCACTGGGGATGATGCAGGCCGTGCTGCGCGGGGCAGACAGTGCAAGCATTCCAACGAAGCTTGCGCAACTAGCCCCGCGCTTGCGGGTGCCCGCTGCAGGCCTTGGTGGCAGGCGATCGTGCACGACGAGACAGGCCACCCCTTGACGGCGCCTTGCTTGAGATCAGATGCACTCTTGGCGGCGCAGCATGCTGGTGGTGGCTTGCCCAGACTTGCGCGCTGCAGTTGGCGAGTGTCTGGCCTGAGTCATCAGGTGTGCGAAAAAAGACATCTTACCTGGGACGGCCTTTGCAAAGCTGGGGAGCAGCTGATTCGCGGGACAAGCTCGTGTCAGAGTTCTGGCCGACATTGTCTTCTTAGTGGGTGAGCTGTGTGTATTGACGCTCTTGCTGCCGCCTGGCCACCTGGAGCCAAGCACTAGTTGCAGGCGGGTCACTTGCGCAACTTGAGGGCTCCCCCTTGGATTGCAGGTCAAGCTTCTGTTGCAGGAGCTGCCTACAAGCCTGAATTAGGGTTTCAGCTTTTGACACGTTGTTTGGAGATGTGATGTTAGTACCAGCTTCAAGCAGTCATGTGTGCAGAAAGTGCTTTGCAGCATTCGGGCCATGCCCTGCTGAAGAGGATGGGCATCAACGCGAGAAAGGCTCCAGCATCCCTGGTCCAGGGCAACATTGCGAGGGCTTGGGCTCGAACGGCAAGCAACAGAGCCTGGCGTCGAATCCATGCCGTATGCCAAGCTTGCGAATCGCAGGAGCCCTCTTCTTGTCAATCCCCTAAAACATTGAAGATGGGGCCTTTGTCAGTTTGCAGGTTAGTTTCAGCTCTGAGCGGGCGCAAACCAAGGCCTGAAGCATGGAGCAGCACGACTGGCGTTGCAGCTTTGCAGGCAAGACGGCAGTCAGGGTGCCTGGGTAGCAGTAGGGGCATATCAACAACTGCGCATAGATGCAAAAACACTTGTCCCGCCTTTCCTGGTTTTGGGCGCCTTCGACACGCTCCCCTCAACTTGTCCCCAAGACCTGGCAGTTCCTAGCGGTCGGCCCTGGGAAGAGAGGGAGAAGAATCTCTGTGAGTTGCAGACATCCCACATCGTGAAAGTATTTGCTGAGAGGAAGGAGGAAACAAAAACCCGATCGGCAAGCGCGAGGGTGAGATCGAGGAGTTGAGATGGTCTATGCGTGGAATCCACGGATCACTATAACGGAAGCACGCAGAAAGTGTGGATCATCATGCCGTCCAAATCGCCTCCCCTTCTTTGGCAAGCCCTTGCGTCATGACGAACTCATCATCCATTGAGGTGTGTGTGTGTGTTTGCCAGAAGGAATTGGGCCATCTGTCAGTCAAGTTGGCCGAGATGAAATGAAAATCAACAACACCCCCAAAGGAGGATGAAAACAAGGTGTCATTCTTTTTTTTTTGGGGGGGGGGGTTTGCGTTAAGTATTTTTGGGGTTTGCTAAAGCTCACACTTATCACTCAAAACTCCTGAAGGGAAAGGCCTCCCAATAAGAAGGAGATGGCTACCGCGACGGGCGGGCCTACCTTTGCTTTAGGGTGCAATGACGGAAGCTAAAACACGCTTAGAGATGCTTAGAGGCCTGGCAAGGTTTTCGCCGGAAGTCGCAACCGAATCCTTGCAGGCGGTTGTTCCCATTGGCGAAGGGTTCAGCCTTACTTAAGGGCCACGGGGGGGTGTGAGGGGGTAAGTCAGGGTCTTGCGACTGGGTTTTGCTTTTGGTCCAGAACAACTTGAGGGCTTTTTTTCACGTGTTGAAAAATTTGGTCGTGGGTGAAGCCGCCGGTTGAAACCGACTGTTTCAGGTTGTTCTATTCATTATCAGCATCCTCCGTGTTCCAACATGCCCTCTTAGGATTGCACTTGGAAGGGGCTTGATTTTTGCAAGTCCTACCAAAGCGCGCAGCCTGGTGAAGCAAGCGTTGGGGAAATTGTATTGGGTTGTTTTGGGGGAAACATCTACACCGGGTCGTATTCCACAAACTGTTCTAAAGGTTCTCAGTTTTCGCTGATGGCTGCCTTGTGAGGCTTTGGGGTCGCTGATTGTTCAAAGGCAACTTTTGCCCCTATCCCTTAAAATTGTTGTTTTCTATTGTAATGAATCAAGCTGTCATCAGGATGTGTCACGATGTTCAGGCCCAATTGAAGGAAATTCGACAAATCTTGTGTTTTGTTTCAGACCAGTTGCACGTTGCGATGATTTGTCATCTAGGATGCATTAGGGTATCTGACTAATCTAGTCTTGCCCTTAAGACGCCAGAATCTCACACTCAGAGGCATACTCTTGATGGTTCTGACGGTCTTGTTGTTGATTGCTTGACATCACCAAAAGTAGGAGATGAAGCCTTTCGTGCACACCTGGAAAGTTGATATCCAATATGAAATTGGGATCTGGATTGAAGCCTGTTGATCTGTCCAAGTTGCATGGCTGGATTTACTTGTACATCGTCCTTGAGGTGCTTCTCAAAGTGAACCTCTTGGAGTTCATCGACGGCTACATTTTAAGGAGCCAAGGGCCTGGTTCTAACTCCAGTTGTGTGGGGAAAGCGTATAGCGCCCCTGGTTGGTTCGCCTGTACTAACATTGCCCTTCTTTGTTCTGTGCATGTTGGTGCAGCAAACTCGGTCAAGACGGTCCGTTGAACACACAGGAGCGCCGAGCATCTTCAACAGTGGGCTTCCTTTTTTGACCCCTGGCACGAGGGCCAGTGGCACCTGGTTGACTGTTTGGGGCACCCAAAGAATGCCTAGGTGGGGGCAACAACGTTTAACTAAGTTGCCACGGCACAACTGGAATTTTGTGTGAGGAAGCTTCTGGCAATGACCCTCGCTCAAACCACTTGTTTACACACGGCTCGATTGAAATGGAAAGTAGTCATTGTCAGCCTCGGGAATGACGGGAAAGCAGAGGCTTCAGCCGAGTTGCCATGGGCTTGGAACAAAGCTTTCCCAAAAAAGAGGCCTGAGCTTTATCATTGTTTTTCAAGCGGGCGGGGTGATGCGAAGGGCGCGCATAGAGCAAAACAAAATGCGTAGAAGGTTAACTGGGTAGTCTGCGCCGCTCACACAAAAACTCTAACCACAACCCTTTCCAGCAAGCTTTGTCGTAGAAACCCTTTTATCAACGACCCTTTGTAACCAATGGAGCAAAGAGAAGCAATCGCTGCTCCTTTGAGTTTCCTGACCGGATGTGAGAACCTTTGGAAATCGAGCAGGTTGAAGAATTTCCATAGTGGCCTACCTGGAAAACAAGTCTGGCTTCCATACGGAAGACTGGCACACTTTTAACTGTTTCTGATGGTTGTTAAGTTTTGTTGAGGGCTCTTCGGCCTCTCTTCAAACTGCCAGCAAAACACGAAGTTGAATTGTTTCCAAATGCTTCAAGCGCTG